ACCATTGCTGTGGGTCACACTGCTGCTGTTGTAGTGGGAGAAGCTGAGGTTCTGCTGTAGAACAGTCAGTGTTACAGTGGGAGCAGGTCGACCTGTGGCTGAACAGGACACAACTGACTCTGCAGAAAAATCTGATCTGCTGACATCAAGGATGGGTTCATGCAGCTCTGAGAGGAGAACAAACATCATGATCAACATCTAGTTATAGAAGTTAATCCTGGAATACAGTCTGGTTCTTACCATAAGCCTTCAGGCAGGTTGTCCCTATCAGAGGTCCATCAGGGTAGATGTTGAACAAACAGAGATAACATCCTTCATCATGCTCTGTAACTTTCCTGATAACTATGGAGGAATTCTTCAGTCCAGCTTCTGTAAACTGGACTTTATCTTTAAAGTCAGGATTCACTGTTTGACCAAAATGCTCGCTATAGGAGCAGATATTCCTCTCTTTCCTTCCAAAGACCTTCTGCCAGGTGACCTGCTGGACCTCTTTAGTTACCAGGAGCTGACAGCTGAGAGGAGCATCTTCTCCCTCTGCTGCTAAGACATTCAGCTGGGTTTGGACCACAGCTTCCACACCTGTAAAAAACAAAGAAATAGATCAATGTAACTTTGTGTATATTATCTACCATTCTATTAGAGTGATTTATTTCCTCTCTGTGTACTTTGACAAAAAATTCACAACAGTTGAGTTATACCCAACATCTTCTGGTTGACGTCCCTCGTTTTCTTTGCCCTTTCATAAATTAAATCCTCCCCTAGGCCTCTAATAAGGCCTTGAGATGTGATCATCAACTTCCTATAGAATCCATGTTGAATGTTGCCAATAAATAGACTTGAAAAAACATATCAGACCAAATAACACTGATTTGGTCTTAAAGCAGATTCTAGAACATATTAAAATCTGACAATAAAGGTTATAAAGCACGTCATTGATTCCACAGTATTAAACAGGAATAGAAATATTTGCTAAAACGAAGTAAACTACTGCACTTCTGATGATTTTACATCATAATGGCAGCAAGATACTGTTGATCAAATCTATTGATAACTTTATAAAACCAGGAACTAGACAAAAAAATGATGCAATGCTGTGGTTGAAACATAGCAGACATCTGCCTGAACAAGTCAGGAAACCGAAACCTTGGTTAAAATAGGTGGGCCACCATTCCTTCACTTTGACAATGAAGGTATTTCAATGAGCTTGTGACTAATGTACTGAAATGATGTGTTTATGCTTGAGGACCCTGGCTTAAATTACAAAGGAGAGTCTCATTCTCCTTTTGCAGTCAGGCAGTCGGAGTATCAATGATGACTGCACATGTTGCTTTAGAGATAACCATGGTTAACAGAAGAGAAACAATGATGCCAAGCACCAGCCTTTTTTTAAAGTGTCCAGTGGTGTCATTCTTACTTAATCATGACAGATTGATCTCCAGCCCTGTTATCACCAACCACACCTGCGTTGATGGAGCAATCACTGAAATGATGTTAGCTGGTCCTTTTAAGACAGGGCTGCAATGATGTTGAAATATGTTTTGGGGGATAAAGCATTTTATAGGCAAATATTGACTTTGCAATTAATTGCTGTTACGCTGATCACTCTTTATAAGATTTTGGAGTATATGCAAATTGCCGTTATAAAAACTGAAGCAGTAGCATTTTTAAAATATTAACATTTGAATCATTCTCAAATCTTTTGGCCATGACTGTAGACTCCCACAAGGCTGGAAAGGGCTACGGGGCAATTGCTGAGCAACTTGGTAAAAAAAAAGATCAACTGTTGGAGCAATTACTATAAAAAGGATTAAGCTGAACATTATTGTCAAGCTCCCTCGGACGGCGACTCCATGCAAGATCTCACCTCGTGGGGTCTCAGTGATCCTAGGATCAGTAGGAGCTGGTCCATGACCTGAAATGAGCTGGGACCACCGTTTCTAAGGTTACTGTTGGTAATACACTAAGACTTCATGGTTGAAAATCATCCATGGCACAGAAGTTTCTCCTAATTTAATCAGCTCACGTCCAGGTCCGTCTTAAGTTTACCCATGACCATTTGGATGACCCAGAGGAATCATGGGCAAAAGTCAGATGAGATCAAAATAAAACTTTGTGGTCTTAATTTTACAAGTCATGTTTGGAGGAGGAAGAATGGTGAGTACTATCCCAAAAAACACCATCCCTACTGTAAAGCATGGGGGTGGTAGCATCATGCTTTGTGGGTGTTTTCCACACTTCCGATGGGATGACTGCATTTTATCAAGGAGAGGATGACCAGCGGAATGTATTGCGAGATTATAAGGAACAACCTCCTTCCCTCAGAGCATTGAAGATGGGTCGAGGCTGGGTCTTCCATCATGACAATGACCTAAAGCACACGGCCTGGATAACCAACACAGGTGTCAAGTAACGAAGTACAAATACTTTGTTACTGTACTTAAGTACACTTTTTAGGTATCTATACTTTACTCCATTACTTATTTTTCCTCCTACTTTTGACTTCTACTCATTACATTTTCACACAAGTGTCTTTACTTTTTATTCCTTACATTTTTAAAACAAACGTTACTCGTTACTCTTGGCTTCGGTTTAAAGCAGAGGTCACGGATTAGCGGACTGTGATGTTATGAACAACATTAAATCCAAAGAGTTTGTGCGAGGTAAAGCTGATGTATTTGTTGTAGTCTCTTGTTATTCACACACGACAATAAACAGTAATTAGCCGACGTGGGTTTTAAAACTGCAAAGCTTTTTCTTCAACTGAAAATCTGAAAATTATTTTTTGATTATGCACATCTGCTAGCTTTTTATTCTAAAAAATCTATAATATTACAGCAGCAAATTATCAAAGTTTTTTAAAAGCCTGTTTAAAAGCTCCAAATGAGGCTTTGGATCGTACAGCGACAATTGCCCTGTCATTGTTTTACAGGGCAGAATTTGCATTTGCTGAATCTTGTCTTTTAACTAGTGATGGATATACAGGAATACAGCCATACAAGTGTGAACTCCTCTCAGATAGAACAGGATGCAATATTTGGCAATTTCTATTTTTATTATCTTTTTTTGTTTTTATTCAATGTAACATGAATGCGTTAAATTCTGTTCAAAGTAACAGATCATTAAAAATGTCTCCTGACATTTACTGGTTGATTTTCTTTATTCGGACCCCACTTATTTTTTATTAGTTACCCGTGGTTTAATGTTTCTAAATATATATTTCACGTCATGTGCGCCATCCAATGCAGATCATTGGAGCCATCCACATCTAGTGAAAACTAGTGTCATTGGATGAGTCGTATAACGCAAACACTCATTGGTTAGCTAAAGGAAATCATCAGAAGCAAGCAGGTGTTCTTCAAACTGTAAACATGAATTGTCTATGCCATGCTTCAATGTTGGATTCAGAAAAACATGTCTAAATGTCTAAAAGGTCGGACACAGGCGAGAGCGTATCGGGAGACGGAGAAGGAGACCAACAAGACCTCTCTCATCCTTGGCCCTATCTCAAAGAATTTTTTGAAATAGTGGAAAAATTGTGCTGCCAATTCATATAGTGTTATCTGGCCTTTTTCTTAAAGGTTACTTTATACTTTTATACTTTAAGTAGTTTTTGGAGCACATACTTTTTCACTTTTACTTGAGTAATAAGGTCAAGTTGACACTTCTACTTTTACCAGAGTGTTTTTAAGCTGCAGTATCTATACTTCTACTTAAGTAACAAATGTGTGTATTTTTGACACCACTGATAACCAAGGAGTGGCTCTGGAAGAAGCATATCAAGGTTCTGACGTGAACTAGCCAGTCTTCAGACCTAAACTCAATAGATAATCTTTGGCGGGAGCTCAGTGTTTATCAGTGATTTTCTTGGGTGTTCAAATGCTTCTTTGCAGCTGTATCATGCAAATAAAAAGTTTTAAAAAATCATGCATTTTGATTTTTGGATATTTTTTATATTGGACTATGTCTCTCACAGTGGCATTTTCGATTGCCCCTCAATTGAAAATGTCAGGCTCCTTCATGATTTGTAAGTGGGAGAACTTTCAAAATTACAGGCTGTTCAAATACTTATTTTCTTCCCTTCTGTATTATTCCTTCTGAATTATTTACCAACTGTTTAGATGAGGAATGTAAAGTATAGCAGAAATTGCAGACCTTGCATAAGATTTTGTGATACTGGATTTAGGAGGATCTAGAAAAGCTTCAAAATATCTTTAAAAAGTATGGAAATATAAGGAATTTCAGCTAAACCAATGGAGGCTTTAGCTGAAGAGTATGTGAAAAATACAAAGCAAGGTTTGTAGCTAAAGGAGCAGACGATGAAGCAACCATTTCAAGAATAAGGAACCAACAATGAAGAGGCACTTTCACAATGGGAGACATCACAAGCATGAGAGCAGTGATAAAAGCAGCACAACAAAAACTACATGGAGGTTAAGACCAGATATTTACATAGAAACCACTGATGAAAATGCAAATAATTCCACCTGAAGGTTTTAAGATAGGTGGTTAAAATACAGTCATATGAACTAAAAAGGTGTCTGTATGGTTTAAAATGATCTGGGAGAAACTGTAATGCTTCACTGCATGCATATTTGAGTGAAAATGACTACAAGCAATATCCAAGTGATCAGTGTTGTATCCTAAAAAGAAAAAATAGTGAAAAGATGATGTTAATGGTATGGCTAGATGGTTTTATCATTGCAGCTAGAAATGAGGTAGCTTTAAAGGATGCAAAGGTTAGCAGGTTGTATTCCCACCCACCATATTTGGTCTGCTTTAACATATCATATCAGAGTTTGATACCCTCCTGTTTTTTTTGTTTTTGTTTTTATCTGTTTTAGTTTGATCCTGAAAAACAGGTTTACAGAAAACAGTCTGTATTATTTTCCTTAAATCTGGCTCTCCCAGTTCCTCCAGTTAGATTTGACAGTTTAACGAACTTCACTGTTTGCCCAAAACTTAAAATCTACATTGATCTTACACAGTGGTTCCAATGCCCTTCATATTTTATATCAGTCTTTTGTCCATCACTCTAATCCAATTATCTCCTTTATTTTATCTTTATTTTCCATCCAATTCTGCAGATGATAATAATAGAAATATTTGGGTATCTACTTTAAATACTTAAGTAAATATGAAGCAACTTATTTCAGTTATACTGGAATGCCTTTTCTGACAAATTTATATCCGCTTAGATAGAAGCTTCAAAAGAAAAATTAAGTTTATAATGCCTGAAATGTCTGGCAGGAAAAGGGACAGATAAATGCACAGCCTGGGCTATTCAAAGTCATAATGATGATGCTTTTGCTGCTTAAGACTCTGAAAAAGTCCAGATTTAAATAATGGAATTAAAAACTTTTTCTGGGTAGCACACCACCTAGAAGTGACTGACTGCTGACCTCAGTATTTATTGGGCCCTGCATATTGCGCTGAAATTATTACACTTTTACCCTCCCGCCTTTTTAGATCTAACTGATAGAAAACATCAACAGAACAATTCAGCTCATGGAACTAAAACTGCACTGAATATCAAATATAATTCAAGTAGATGCAATAAAACTACCATAAGAGGAACATCTATTTAAGTAACTTAAGTACATTTCTGAATGGGAAGAGTTCATAGTAAAACTGAGAGCATGGTTGGAACTGTGCCAGCTTTGTCTAGACTGAACAGACGGTTTTATTATTCAACAAAGATTCTGCTAGAAATTCACACCTCAGAGTATCTTATTGTATTTAAATAACGATTTTGATTAATTTTCTTAAATCAGATTGGACTAGACAGAAAAAAATAATAATGAAATGATAAATCATAAATAGAAGACTGAGCATTGGCAGGGATAAAACATCCAACTTCCTGCATAAAAAAGCATAAACAGTGAATATTCTCACCTTTCAGCTGTGATGCTCCACAGTTTAAAATTAAGAAAATTACACAAAGTTGCTCCATGTGGCATCGTGGCGAGTTGAAGTCATTACTGAAGAAAGGGGTGGAGAAAGGAAGAAACTGTGCTGAATAACCATTGGAGGCATACGTTTAGAAATAAAACAATAAAAATAGCCCATATACTATACTTACAGTCTGTAAAAGTTAATAATTTATATTTGAAATCAAAGGACAGGACATATCTACAACATGCAGGGTTGATTGTGGATATTACTATTTTACTATGGCTCTCTGCTTTGTTTTTATCTGAACGGTTTGTCTAGCCTCATTTTTCCTCCGCCGCAAAAACCTTTTTTTTTTTTCTTTTTTTTTGTACGGACCATGTTTTGCTACTTTGTTCATTAAAAAACAAAAAAACAAAACTTGTGGAATCATTTTAATTTCTACTCAACTGACAAAAAGATGGAACTGTTTTATGTCTTGACCTTAAACTTAAAACTAGGTTTATTCACATCCAAGGCAGAAATTAGTGGAAAAAGTAGGGATACACATTTTTTTTTTATTGATATAAATGCAAAACGTTAAGATAAACAGCTTTCTTGTTCCGGTAAAACCTCTTCTTCGCTACAAGAGAAAGCCGTTCCAACATTTCAAGTGCATCCGTATTCCAGAGTTTACATTTAAAAAAAACGGTATGTGAAAATAGCTGCTACTTGTACCAACTTCCTGTTTTCAAAATAAAAGTCCAGGCCTAGCTTTCAAAGGCGAAAAGCTAAAAAGTTAGAGTGTGAATATTTACCCTCATCACTAAAACTGATTTAAAAAAAAATAATTAATTAATAAATATGATATGCAAAACTAAAAGGTGTACCTCATACCTTCACTATTATTTTGAAAACAAGCAGTTGGTACACGCTGTGGACATTTTTCCACCATTGTTTCTACTGTACATTCTGTTATACAGGTGCACATGAAGTGTTGGAGCGGCATTCTCCAATTGCGATGTACCCAAGAAGAGGTTTTACCCGAGAGAAAAACAGGATAAACCCATTTTTCTCTCGGGTAAAAATAGGTTTATCCGCAGGATATCCGGAGAAATTACATCTAATGAATGAGTGTAATTGATATTAACTGAAAAAAATATTTTACTTTGTCGGACATAGTTTGGGGGATGGGATAAAGGGGACATTTCCATTGCATGTTTTAAGTGGGAATCTGCTGCTGTAAATTGTACATGTGCAAATAAACAAGCACAGGAAGCTATGATTGAAAGCTGTCTGAAAAAGCTGCAGAAAAACACACAACAGTTCCCCAATTTTTAATGGCCATGGATTTTGAGATGTTTTAATCCCATGAAATTGATGCGGATTTGCTCATCCTTTCCTTTGGTACCAAGGATCATGTAATCCATCTCTGTTTGGAGCTGGTTTAGGAGGAATGTGAAATTGGATCAAACTGATCCAGATTCTCACTTTGGGAGATCACCAAATCCAGATTATCTGCAACAGGATAACTGCTGTGCTGCACATCAACCAGTAGATGGCAGTATTATGCATCTGCTCTATATTCAGCTTTGTTTTAAAATGATCACTGATTGAAATAGGGGAACATTTTCTGACGAAACCGTATATTTAGCAGTAGACCTATGGTCAAAAGCTGAACAGGCTAACATTAGCGTGATTGTTGAAAAAATAAATGAAAATAAAACGTTACAGAGAAATATGGTTTAATATATAGCACTGCATGATTGAACTAAAGTGCTTTAGATTAAATATTAATATTTGATAAAATTTTGGGCCTAAAATTGATGTTGAATCCACATTTCTTATGAGTTGATTATAATCCATTTTTTTTAATGTATTTTCTTTATGAAATGTTTTCCAATCGTATTACAAAATTCTGAAAAACCCAAAGTTTGATCTGAATCAGAACCAGGATTGGATTACCTGATCTAATCCAAGTTTAAGCCATTTTTGTTTTTCTTTTGAAAAGCCAATTTTCAGGATTTGAAATAATCCATTATCCAAAATCTAAGTGGATTACTTTTGAAAATCCCAGATGACTTTCAAATAAAATAAGAAAATATGATGCAAAAAGCTTACATTTAATTATTGCTTCAAGTGTTATTGTCTACTCCTGGTTCATGTAACTGGTTCTTCATTTCCTTCTCTTCAGCATACTATTTATTACATTACAGGCGAATATTGTAATAATGCCACACCTGATTTATTTACCAACAGTCTGCCTTCTCAGACTTCTGGCTCCTCAGAAGCCCTGATATCCAGACCTGATTGTTGCAACACCCAATGAAAGAAGAAGAGACTGGATTTTTAATCCAGTCTCTGTCTTTTAACACTAACATTTTGCTGGTTGTTGTCTTAAAATAAAATTAGTAATTTTATTGCAGATATATGTAAAACTTTAAGCTGAAACTAGTTGAACTACACAGGTCTGACTATAATAATGAAAAAGGAATAATACTGCATGTTGTTGTTGCATGTGAAAAGGGTTTACCAGTGCAAACAATAAAAGTCCACTTGAAATTAGCTTTACTGCAATCTTTACCAAATTAAATGTGAGTGATATAAACCATTTATGATATTCTGGCTATTGGAAACCATTAAAAATGTTCTTAAAATAAATGTATATATTTGTTTTTGGTAGAAACATTAGTTGTAACACAAGCTCTAAGTTAGTGTTATAAAATCACATCCATGTCAATTCCTGTGTATGTTCAGAGAGCTGTAAGCATTTGGTTGTTTCTTCCAAGGCATAAAAAATATACCTGCTTTGCTCCTTCTTGCATCTCAAGAGTCTGCTTGAAATCTTTTTTTTAAAAATTGTTACTGTAATTTAAGATTTGAAGAAAATATTGTTCTCAGCTGTTATACTGAATAAAATGTTAAAGTTCAAGTAGAGGACATACTTATACTTTCTAATTTGACAGTATGTATAAAATAAAGTACATCAAAAGTGAAAAAATGTCCAGCATTTAGTTGTTAATAGCATAAAATAAGTCACTAAGGTCCAAGCACCGGGTCCTTTCTGCTGTCCAGGTGGGAAGCATTGCCCTTGGATGTGGTTTCTATCCTGTTCGGCTCATGGCTCCAGGCTGGTGGGGTTTAAGCTGTGGGTCTCCACCTGACTCCACTTAACTGACTGTTATCCATCGCCGCTCTTGTTGTTCTGGAGCCTGGACCATAACCATATGGAAATCCGTCTGGAGCTGTGGCTATTCTAAACTTTGCAACCAGCTAGGGGTTGTTTTTTATGAAATAAAATATTTCATAAAAAAAAAAAACAATGCTTTGAATCAGCTTTACAACAGAGAAAACAAGCCGTTGCAGCTTTAGTATATTAAATCCAACTAATCCTGTGAGAGGATGCTTGACTTCACTGACATCCTCTCAATTTTTATTACTCGGAGCATTATTAGCGTGATTTAGACCAGTCACATAGAGAAAAGAAAGGATAATCTACCATCACACAGGATAAAACTGCTGTAGACACACTCCTTTCTATTTCACCTCTAAAGGAACACTTTTCTCTTTTAATAATCTGAACCCAAAGATCCACGAATAATTATATAAATAATATATTATAATGATTAACAATATAATATAATAATTTTATATGGAGACAAAAGGTGAATTGTTGAAATAATTTCTGAAACTGTGTTAGACAGTTTCACTCTTTTTCAGAGATAATCCATCCACCTCAGGCGTGGCCTATCTTAATGCTAATTAGGCACAATGATTACAAATGATTTCCAAAAAGGTGTGCCTGTGTTTTTAACGCAAAGCATTGGATTGATATGTATCAAGTTTTGAGTGGGATTTGCGAAAATGTTCTTAATAAATTAGGTTCCGTATTTATTTAATTAACAGTCTTAATTTATGGTGAATGCAAGCTTTAAGGAAGGGTTTCAGCTTGAGATGACTAAAGGATTTCCCAAACAGACTATATTTTTTAATTGATTATTAATTATTGTCCTCTCACTGTGGAACACTACGGTCATTTTATTAAGTTTGTTGTTCTTTTTTGGATTAGGTTTGCAGGCAGTATATTTCTATTTGATGCCCAGAAGGCTGTTTTACAAGCTGTATTCAGAAATTCCTAGATAAAGTAGCAGCCATTCAAAATGGCTGCTCCCAGTCACGTGGCAGCCTAATGGCAGCAGAATCCCGTGAATCTCCAAGCAAAATCGTGACAGAAAACTTTTTTTAAATTTCCAGGTTTGTACTGTACAGCCATACAAAGAGCAAAACTCTGACATTTTCCTGTTGTCATCCTGCCGGTGTTGTGCCAAGTTACTTATCCCTGCAAGAATTTGTTTCCCCTCGCCGGGAGCGCGCACAGAGTAGAAAGAGCTGATTGAGTTTATTCTGCCTTAATTCAAACCTACTAAACGTGAAACTTGAGATGTGTTATGTTTATGACATGTTATAGCAGTATATCGCCAGTGATATTGATAAAAAAAAGAGAAAGCGCGAGCATTTGCTTCAAAACAGGATGCTGACAGCAGTGTCTCCTCCTTTTTCTGAAAGCCAACACCTCCTTGTTCGTTTCAACACGTTCCTTAAAAAAACTCTTGTTTCACTGTCTAAATGTTTTCATCTCATTGAAAATTGTTGTCAACCATATTCTTGTAATAAAAATTAAATAGTAAATGGAGTGTATATGTACATATTACAGGCTATACACAGTAGCAGTAGTACTGTATCCTATGCCAAATTTTGTAATTTAATCTATTTGTGTTTGATATTGACCTATAATTTCTGTATGTTTTACTATCCTTAATAAACAGTGTTTTTTCCCCAACATCAGTCTTTCTAGCTGGTGATAGGCAAAAAATTACAAGGGGGAACAGTTTTGTTCGACGGAGTTTAGGGCCAGGCAAAATGAAAATATAAAGAAAAAATACATACAGAGGCTAAATGCCTCTGAGGCAGCCATGCTAGTTGTGACTGTTACTGCTAACTAACTAATGCGCAGAAGATTACCTTCTAAGACACACCCATCCTCATTTGCATAATGAGGCAGAAATGCATACAGAAATGTAAAAACGAAAGGCAGAAATAAATAGCATGGAAGAAATAAATAGGGTAAAAAAATACAAAGACAGAATAAACCAGATAAGAATATTATAACATGCACATGAATAAATACTTAAAGAAATAAGTAATAAATAAATAAAGTTTAAGATTATAA